TCTGGGAGTGGATCCCTGCGTCTCGAGCGACCCCACTCTCTGGGAGTGGATCCCTGCGTCTCGAGCGACCCCACTCTCTGGGAGTGGACCACCTACAGGCCGTCACTCCCACACTCGCCCTGGTGCTGCGCTGTCACAGTTCGCACCCTCCCCAGAGTCCTGCCGTGTGGGAGAGGCCGTGGTCGGAAGCAGGCAGGGAGTGTGGGACAGCGCTTTTCCGTCTCTGGCTTTCCTCTCCATCTGCTGCCACAGCATCCCGCTCCCTCCTTGCGCTCTCCTGTTCCCGAGCGTCAGCAGGATTCTGCTCTTTCTTTTCCTAAGCTGAGACGTCAGGGTTCCCCCCCTTCCTTCAAGTCCACTGTGTTTGTCTCTCTCTCGTGTTCCACCTGCAGTGTGAGCAGAGGTGAGGGACATCAATCACCGTGCCGAGCGCCGGGCGCGGACCCCAGGGGTGCGAGGAGTGGAGGGGGGGCGGCAGGCTCCCGGAATGTTGATGGAAGTGGCTCGTGCCTCTGAGCCGCTGTGCCTCTGAGTGCTGCGGCATCGCTCCTGCCCTGCTGCCGGGATCTGTGGGGCAGACTGCCCAGCCCCACCCCTGCCGTGGAGCGGTCTGACCGTAGGTCAATGAGACAGAGGCCTCATTGGCGCCGGTGTTGCTGGCGCACTAAGCGCAGTGGGCTAGTGGGCACCGAGACTCACCGGGCCCCACGGGATGGGGCTGGCACGCTCGACACCTGGAGCTGCGCTGAGGTTGCCGCGGTGGCAGGGTACCAGCGGACAGAGAGAGGGGCAGGAGCCAGAAAAGCCGTGTGACCTCAGCCTCACGCCATGGGGAACAGGTGCACATGACTCTCCGCTGCGCATGACACGCACACCGCTGTGCAGCAGTGTGAGACAGGGGCCGCGCAGCTCAGGTCCAGGCTGTGAGAGCTTTTCCTTCCTTACACAGCAACACAATTCCACAGTGAGCCGCTATTGAAATTGTTGGCATTTGGATTTGAGGTGCCAGTTAATCCCCATTATCTGTATTTTGGATCACAAGGTGGGCTTTTATATAGAGGGGAATGGACGATGCTGCTGATGAGAAACATTTGGTCGTAAGGCAGCTGGACCTGAGTGGTTAACATGTTGCATCCGCTACAACATTCATACAGGCTGCTGCTGTGGAGTTTACTGTACCTGCGGGCTGTTTGAGAGCTGCAGACGTTAAATGCCAGGCCTGGAGTCTTCTCACCAGCCTGAGCTGTATTCGCTCCAGCTGGCACGACGGCACAAATAACATTCTCGTGGGGGTTTTGAGTAAATCGTTGATGCTCCAAACTCCTATTGCACTTCCTGCTTTTGTCTAAAACGTTTGCACAGCAGAGGATCGAACTCTGGGCTTCTAGGATCTGCTGATCCCGATCTTTCACATGCTGTCCAGCCTGCTGCCTGTGGCGCAGGGAGAGAGAAGACACGGGGTCTAGAGCAGACACAGAGCGGATTCTCTTCTGTCTCCCACCCTGGTCTGTAGGAGGAATGTACTTCTGTTCTTCTTGACACTCAGACTCTGTCAAGGCTTGTGTTACATGTTTATCATCAGTGAATTGGTCCTGTTCCCTTGAGAAAATCCCTGGGGGTATTTGCTGCTCTTCGCCAGGCAGTCACTCACCAGACTTCTGTGTGTTTTCAATGTCTCTAATGCTGCGTCCAGAGACCAGAAAGCTGCAATAATGTGCTTCACCCCCGGAGGGAATGTTGCTGATGTTGTTGTTTGGCTCATTCGATTGACTTTTTTGACCAAGTGGGTCATGTGGCTGAGTAAAGGTGAGGGTCTCACCTTAGCAAGTAGCTTCCCAGCTGAAACTCACGATCGACACACAAGATCTTAATTTCCTGATTGCTCCGGTCTGAGTTTGTACCAGACTCCCAGCATGCACGCACCCACGCACACACGCAGCTGAGAATCTGCAAAGGAAGTTCCAAAAGTTTAAGACAAAAACTGGACAAGCACCTGGCAGAAGCCATTTAGGCAAACAGAATGTATTATTTAGTTGAAGATATTTAGTTGAAAGGAAAGAATGTAAATGAAAGAATGTTGTGGTACAAATTGTATATTTTACTAATAAGGCCTCATGTGGAGTATTGTGTAAGATATTGGTCACTATA